CAGGGGTGGGGGGTGGTTTCTAAATTGTGTTCACAGGAGTCTTGATAAAACTGGACTCTGCAGGGCAAAGACAGAGCCTAAGGATGAGACCTAGTTGGAAAGCGGGCTCAGAGGAGCCTGGCTAAAAAGTTTGGTTGAGGAAAGAGTGTTGGTCATAGTAAAGGCACAATTGAGTTCCCATTTGTTACGGGTATGCAAAGAAATTTGGTGGTGCTTGGCTTTGAATATTTCACCTAAGTTGGTACAGTCTTTGGTATTTTAGAGAAAAATCATTTCTTTTTTGCAAATTAAAACCACACTGAGGTTTTCACCTGTCATATTGGCAAAAACTCTGGTGTTTGATATCATACTCTAATGGTGAATCTCTGAGGAAATAAGCAATAAATAGGGGTATGGGGCAGTGTGTAGCAAAAGCATATAAGCATTTACATTCTGGTGTCAATGCACTTCTACTCTTCTATCCCAAATATGTACTGGCAAATATATGAAATGTCTGTGTACAAAAGTATATATTGCAGCACTATTTCAAAAGCAAAAGAATGAAACAGTTCAAATATTTATTGAATCTGGAGAGGGTCTGGTTAAATAAACTATGGTACATCCTATAGTTTAGATAGCCTGTAGTATGAATTATTCCTCTTGCTATGGAGTCATTTCCAGGAGATATATATGTCCTGGAAATCCCTAAAAATCCCTTAAGAAAAAAATGCAAAAGTAAAATGAAATAAATGAACCTCACTCTTTATCTGATTGGTGGGATAAATACATAAAGCAGTGACTTTTAAAAAGTCATACATGCGGGCCGGGCGCGGTGGCTCATGCCTGTAATCCTAGCTCTCTGGGAGGCCGAGGCGGGCGAATTGTTTGAGCTCAGGAGTTCGAAACCAGCCTGAGCAAGAGCGAGACCCCCGTCTCTACTAAAAATAGAAAGAAATTAATTGGACAACTAAAAATATATAGAAAAAATTAGCTGAGCATGGTGGCACATGCCTGTAGTCCCAGCTACTCCAGAGGCTGAGGCAGGAGGATCGCTTGAGCCCAGGAGTTTGAGGTTGCTGTGAGCTAGGATGACGCCACGGCACTCACTCTAGCCAGGGCAACAGAGTGAGACTCTGTCTCAAAAAAAAAAAGTCATACATGCTTTGTGGGATGTATAAAGAGCAAATAAATAGTAATTGTCAATAGGAACCAAGAGTTTTCACATGACAGCTAATAAAAGATGTAAAAATCTAAGCAATGTTAGATAAAATTCCAGTAATCATAAATTTGATATTTATTAGTATTATCTATTTCAGGGGTGGGAATCTGCCCCCTTAAGGCCACACGTGCAGCCTTAAGTGCAGCCTTTTGACTGAACCAAATGTTACAGAACAAATCCTTTTGTTTTTATTATTAATAATACATTTTTGTTCATCTTTTATATTTTTATTTTTAAAATGAATGTATTTAAAATACCAAAGAATAAAATAAGTTTCAGTGAAATAATACTCCCTGATTGACTGGCACAATTAGAATGTTAGTGTAAGCCATAAGGGCTAAATTGACAGCTGCTATGCTCATGATTCAGTTCTAACTTCCCCCATCTGACTGGTGCCACTACTGCACGAGGCTGGTTGGCGAGAGTTTATGGGGGTCCAGTACCCCTGTCTATTATTAGCTTTTGACAACGGTGCACTGTGTTTCTATTTGAAGTGGAATTTGTAAACAGTTGCACAGCTCAACAATATTTTTTAATTTTGTCTGCTGAACAGCCCATTATGTCAAAGAAGACCAAAAGAACTCTGAAGGAAGAAAACAGATTTTCTAATGAGGATTGGGAATTGCAATATTATCTTGTTTCTGCTAAAGATAAGATGAAATTCTTGCTTTGTGATACTGCAGTAGCACCATTAAAGAAATTCAATGCTCACCAGCATTATAACACTCAAAAGGACCACAAATATTTTAAATTAGAGGGAGAAGTGCAAACGGTTTTTATTGCAGAAATTAAAAGATGAAAAGCAAAAGCAAAGAAAATTCTTTTAAACAGCAGTTAAGACCTGGAAATAATGCCACTGAAGCAGCTTATTAAGTAGCTTATATATTCAGGAGAAAAGAGAAGTCATTCAGTGATGTAGAAATTATGAAAAAATGCATTGTCAAAATTGTAGGATGCTTGGACCCCAATAACGTTTCAAAGTACAAACAACTGCCTCTCTCAAGAACCATAACTGATCGGCAGCATGCATTAGCCTACAATTTAACAGAACAACTTCATGCAATACTTCAAAAGGAAAATGTGTATTATTCAATTGCTTTGGATGAATCAGCTGATATGGCACAGGTTTTATACTTCATTCAGATCATAACAAGATGTTCTTTGCCATGAAGAGTTATTCGCTTTGAGCACTCTTGCGAGTAGAACACAGGAAATAGATATCTTTGACAACTTTCAAGATAAATGTTGTGAAATTGGACTGAATTTGGTAAATTTAATGAGTTTATGTACAGACGGTGCACCTTCTGTGACAGGAAAACATGAAGGGTTTATTGCACAGATTAAAAAAGTATTAACAGATCCAGATGCTCTCATTTCTTTTCATTGTATCTTTCATCAGCAAAATCTCTGTGCTAAAGCTACTATTTTAAGTGACACTTTGCAACAAGTAAGTTTTGTTAACTGTATTCCTGCAAATGCAATACGATATTGTCATTTTCGTAACATGCTAAAATTGAACATGAGATATTTAGTGTGGATTTGCCACATCATTCAATGCCACCGGGTTGGCTGTCACAGGGACAGGTGTTAGCCAAAATTTTATCTCTGCTAGAACAGATAGTTAAATTTTATGTAGAACAGAATCAGCAGTGTCAATTATTGAAAGAATATTTCTGTAGGATTGCAGCATTTCACTGTGATACTATGTCAAATCAAAACAACTTGAATATTTCTTTGCAAGGTAAAGCTAAGTCTGTGTATGATATGTGGCAGACAATCCAAGCATTTCAAAAAAAGCTATCTTTTTTCAAAACAGTTCTTGAAAAGGAAATTTCGGATGAACATTTGCCCCAGTTAGCAAAGGTCATTGATGAGCAGGATGATATATATGAATCATTTGAAGAATACGAAGCTATTATAGACCTACTAATTGGAGAATACAACGAAAGGTTCACTGACTTGGAGAATTGTGACATGACACTCAAATTAGCATTTTAGCCTCACCTAGTTGATATCACCAAGACATCTAAAGAAATACAGATGGAATTGAGTGAGCTCTCAGTAGATATTTTAAAATCATTGTTTGATGCTAAGAAAGATCCAATTGAAATATGGAAAAATGCAGTAGAATACCCATGCCTTTGGCAACATGCCTGAAAAATGCTTTCTTACTTTTCAACCATTTACTACTGCGAATCTACATTGTCCTACCTAACCCAAATCAAGACACTCTTATCACAAATGACTCATACCCATCTAGAGGATCAACTCAAACTGCGGACCTCCATGCTGCAACCAAATATTCAAATGCTTTGCATCAAAAAGCAGACACAACAAAGTCATTAAAAGGTTAATCAACTTTAAAATGAACAAATACTTTTCATTTTTTAAAATTATTAAGTACATAGATTTTTAGATTTTTAGAAAAAATGTACATCTTTACATTTATATAGTTAAAGTTTCCTGAATCAGCCTTATTTGATTACAGCTAAATCAATGCTGCATTCCAGCATCAAAAGGTTTCCCACCCCTGATCTGTTTCTTTTAGAAAATGTGTTTATTTCCTAGCTCTGTCCACTGAGCCCAGAAACACTAACTGACTCAGCAACAATGAATACTCCTTGTGCCCAGATTATGGTTCCTAAGTATCATTTCCCACTAAAAGAACCAGAGCTCCTTGGAGAAATGGCTGATTTCACATACGGAGCAAGAAATGCGCAGAATAAACCTAGATCATCTTGTCATGCCAGAAACCAAGGATGCTACAGTTGCATTAAAGGACTCAGGAGACAATTGAGTAGTCAAAGAAGAGAAATTAGCTCTAGTATGAAGAGTAACTACAGTGGATTAAAGCCATCAGATTTGTTGAAATTCATTGGTTCATAATGATATTTAGAAAAAAAATCACTTCATTTTTGGAGGACAGGAGGGAGATCATTCTGAATGAAGAGAAGCTTTTCTATATATGTATACTATCTTAAGGACAAAAGAATGACCATTTTGCAAACCTTGTTTTTACAATGGATTATCACAGAAAGAGAATACTAAGTGTCAATGAAGGAAATACACAGCACCCTTTATGCTGTGCCCAAACAATCAAACTTCAATACAAATCAAACCTGTAGCTCTAACAGCCGATTTACAGGACTTACTGGAGCCAAGGACCGCAATCAGGGAAGGCCACAATGGGGAAAACTACAAAACAATGGATCCAGCTTCCCCCTCCCCTCCCAATTCAAAAATATATAGCAAGGAATTTTAAAAGAGGGTGGGAGGAATTTATAGATTAAAAGAGATTTATGAAACACAGCAACTCAATGCAGTGTGGGGTCATTATGTTGAACCTGATTTCAGAAAACCAATTATAACAACACATGAATACAGTGATTGGGGAAATTATTATATCTGAGTGCTACTGAGTATTTTATATTGGATTTGTAATGAAATTTTATGCGTGATGATGTCATTATGTTTTGTTTTTTTTTTAAAGAGACCTTTTAGAGATAGCATAATAAAATATTTATGAATAAAGTATGTCTGAGATTTGCTTCAGATAATTTAGTTGTGGGAAGGGAGTGAAAAAGGAAACAAAAGATTATCCTTGAGTTTGTCATTATTGAAGAAATGATTGAAGAGGCACATGGGGGTTTATTACACTATTCTCTAATTTTGTATATGTCTGAAACTTTCCATAGTAAGTTGTTAAAAGTACAAATGTGGTATCTTTTATGCAAGATGTCTTTGTACTTATTGGTGGTTATTTTTTAATTTGTGTCTCTGTTTTTGTGTTTTTGTTTTTTAGATTGCCCCAGTAGAAAATGACAACAGCTATGATGAACTGAAAAGAGATGCAAAGTTATGTTTATCACTAATGTCTCAGGGGTTGCTTTACCCTCATCAAGTGCCTTTGGTACTTCAGGTGCTAAAACAAGTAAGAGTGCATAACTATAATATGTATATCTTTTGGTTAGGATTTTGGTTTACCATTCTAAGAATTTTACAAAGTCACCTGCAATGCACACAGTACTTAAGTTTTGTTTTCATTTTGAATTTTCTTTTAGTATAAGACATAAATATCGACCAAAGGAGCAAACCTAGATTCTGTACTTGGCTCTACCACCAACCTCTGTGACCTTGGGCAAGTCACCCAAGCCAAAAATTATTTATATGTGCAAAGAGCTAATTATTGAAGTGCTTTGGATACAATGTACTTATAAAGTAGGGGGATGGTGATTCCCTTTTACCATTTTCCCGTTATTTTATTCACTTGTATTGCCTGGTCTATGCTAGAGAGAAGTATAGTGATTGTATATTTTCTGGCTGCATTGTTAGTATACTGTAACATGGTCAGCTTTATCCAGGTCATGTGTTATATAAAAATGGATATGTTCCCACAGCTTTCAGATTTTAAATGTTGGGTTTGTTTTTTTTTTTTAGTAGTGGAATTTAGTAATTTAGTTAAGAATTTAGTAATTCTTAATTATTTGCCTTCAAGACCCTGGCCGGGAGCAATGGCTCATTCCTATAATCCCAGCACTTTGGGAGGCTAAAGCGGGAGGATTGCTTGAGGCCAGGAGTTCAAGAACAGCCTGGGCAACATAGTGAGACCCCATCTCTGTTAATATGTATATATTTTAAAAGACCCCTGTTGGCTGCTACTAAAAGTAAACTAAAATAATGTGCAATCCTTGGAGGAGTTAAGAGTCATTAATCATGACTAGTTCTATCTTCTAAAATTGACTTTTACCTATGTGTTCCCTTCCCTTTACCCTCAGCCATTACATATTCCGAATAACTAACTTTGTCTGAAATAGCTTGTTCAACGTTTTATTTAGAAGGAAGTATAAGATGAACTTACCCAAACTATACCTGTGAAAGTAGAGTTAAGTTAGAATATTACATTATTTGTGTGTAATGTCATTATCTGTCATCTCATGTTCTTGTCAGTACTGTTTTTATTGTTGTACTTTTCATTCACAGACAGCAAGAAGCAGTTCTTGGCATGCCAGATACACAGTACTGACCTACCTCCAGACCATGGTATTTTATAACCTCTTTATTTTCCTAAACAATGAAGATGCAGTTAAAGATATCAGATGGCTGGTTATAAGTCTTTTGGAGGATGAACAACTAGAGGTAAAATTTAAATTATAGAAAATGGAAACTCAATTTAAAGACATCGTCATGGTTCCCCTTTTAAAAAGTATTTGTACACTGTTAGGATGTATTTTATTAAAATATAAACTATTAAAAGTAACTGCTTAATTCTAACATAGCATTATGTGAATAGTTTTGCTACCTTAATCATGATTTCCTGTGATACAAATGGAAAAAAGCGCTGGGCATGTTTTTATTTTGTCTTCTCTTTGCAATTGGGCAAATACCATGTGTGAATCCAGGTTTTTTTAACTATGAAATTGAGGATGGTGATTTTGATTACACCACTAGAGGATTACTTGAGCCCAAGAGGTTGAGGTCACAGTGAGCCATGATTAGGCCACTGCACTCCAGCCTAGGCAAGGGAGCGAGACCCTATCTCTAAAAAAATAAAATATAATTACCGCATAATCTTGCTGACTTTAAGAAACTAATAGGAGTGTGCGTAAAAGTAGTTTGAAGGAAGTAAAAATCTACACATAGAAACAAAACAAAAAAACATGTACAAATCTGACTAGAAGAATATTAGAAATCATCAATTTAAATCAAACTTCACACTAGAGAAAAATATTGCACCATAAGAAAATCATTAAGACTTTGTGGAGGGGTGGTGGTAGTGTAATAACATATAAAGAGACAGTGCAAGATATAAATAATGAAAAGTCAAACCTCTCAATGACCAGAGAAATGCACACTTAACACAATGAGGCATATTAACCTACTCTTTAGTGTTTCCTCCCACTCAAAAAACAAAAATGTGTAGTGTAGTGATGATGACCAGCGTTGGTAAGGTATAACTAGTAGTCCATATTTTTGTGTCACAATATGTTAGCATTAGCTTTTGTTTTTCTTTTTTTTTGGAGACAGAGTCTTGCTCTGTTGCCTGGGCTAGAGTGCTGTGGTGTCAGCCCAGCTCACAGCAACCTCAAACTCCTGGGCTCAAGCGATCTTCCTGCCTCAGCCTCCTGAGTAGCTGGGACGACGAATGTGTGCCACCACACCAGGCTAATTTTTCCTAGTTTTAGTAGAGACGAGGTCTCGTTCTTGCTCAGGCTAGTCTCTAACTCCTGACCTCAAGCGATCCTCCCACCTCAGCCTCCCTGAGTTCTAGGATTACAGGTATGAGCTACCATGCCCAGCCAGCATTAGCTTTTTGAAAAGCAACTAATAGGCATAAAATTAACAGTAAAACTGTTTATACCTTCAAATTTACTAATCCCAACTCTTATATCCTAAGAAAATATACTGAAATAATAGGAAAAAAATTACATGAATTAAGAATATTTTAGATGCTGGGCACAGTGGCTCATGCCTGTAATCCCAGCACTTCAAGAGGCTGAGGCAGGAGTATCCATGGAAGCCAAGAGTTCAAGACCAGCCTGGGCAACATAGCCAGACCCAATCTCTACAAAAAATTTTTTTAAATAAAAAAATTAGCTGGGAGGATGGCTCAAGGTTGTAGCAAGCTGTGGTCATGCCACTGCACTCCAGCTTGGGTCACAGCAAGACTCTGTCTCTTAAAAAAAAATATATTTTATAGTATAGTGGTGAGACGTTGAAAGCAATCTAATCAGTATTTGAACTTAAAAATAAATCATTGTATATAAGCTTTATGGGAAATGATGCAACCAAGTATTCAGTAAAACATTTTGCAATGCATTTCATGTAATAGTGTAATGGAAGTAGCAAAGAAAATGTACTCAAAAAACTAATGATGAAACACTTATAAAAAAACTTTTGAAGGAATATAGAGCAAAATGTTTGCTTTTCAAATTATTATTGTATGTTTTTATAACTATTAAGCAGGAACTTTTGTGATTTATATATGAGATGATGGTACCCTTTTACTGCTTTTTTTTGTCTTCCCCAAACTTGAGTTACCATTCCAATTTGAAATTGACCGTATACACTCTTCCTTTAGTATTTGTATAAACTGTGTGTATAGTCTGACAATAGCTCATGAAATTCATAAGAAGTAAACTGGATATAAGTCTATGATATATACCATCTGCAGAAATTAGGTTTTCCTGTGTCTTTGTTATTGACAATGACAATTTAAACAGTGGTCTAAAGAGATGTAGAGTCTAGGAAAGCATGATTTTAATGTCAGGCTCCAGCACTACTTTTACGGTTACAACCCTGATGAGAGCTATCCATGGGGAAGATAATTTATGGAGAAATTTAACAGTTACTTCTGTAACCCCAGCGTAGTGGCTTTTATCCGTTTTGAGGCTACCAGCCCTTTGAGAATCTGCTGAAATCCCAATTAAGAAACTGCCAAATACCAAGGAGAATAGAGGAAGGCAAAGAAAAAGGGGGGAAAAAACTGCTGGAAGAGCACACACAAGCTTTGCATACAATTTCAGGGATGGTTCTCACTCCGGTTCCCACCCCTCCCCCCATCCTCCATTATTCCCTCAAATTTAGAATCTCGGTTTTAATAGGAATTATTATCTCTACAGGTTCGGGAAATGGCTGCTACCACCTTAAGTGGTCTATTACAGTGTAACTTCCTTACCATGGACAGTCCTATGCAGATTCATTTTGAGCAACTTTGCAAAACAAAACTACCTAAGAAAAGAAAGCGAGACCCTGGTTCCGTAGGAGATACTATTCCTTCTGCAGGTAACATTGCTAGTATAAAACACACCCATATCCTTTTGAGAATTAACTAGGCTTAACCAGGCTTACTCAACAAATATGTATTGAACACTTGTATGTGTGCAGGTCTGTGCTGGGTTACTGGAAATAGTTTTCCCTACTTTTAAGGCGATTTGCGTACAGAAAGCAGGGCTTAGAATGAGGAGGCTAAAATTGAGTTAGGTACAAAGGAACTTTATAGAAATGCTGCATACAACTATTATAATAAATCAAGACTACTCTCCACCCAAAATAGCTTTAGAAAGAGGATATCCAGAATTAGTTGTTTTAGATGGTCTAAAATATGTTTAGAATTTAGAACTTATATGTAGCTGTACTAAGAAAAAAACAGGAAACAAAGCAAGCCTTGCCTTTTTTAGAGGGGGGAATATTCAGTATTTTACTAGACATTTGGTGAGAGTGTGAAGAGTCTTTGCAAGAACTTCCAATGTAATTGAACATAAAGAGACAGGATAAACACAGGAATAAGATCTTACCACTATACTGTGTTTAAAGAGAAATTTAAGTGTGATTACAAAGCAGCACCTGCTCTTGCCTCTGCTAACTACAATCACAAGAATAAATGAAAATACACAGGCTGAGCACTGTGGCTCATGCTGGTAATCCCAGTGCTTTGGGAGGCCGAGGCAGGAAGATCGCTTGAGACCAGGAGTTTGAGAGTAGCTTGGGCAACATAGCGAGACTCTGTAAAAAATTAGCTGGGTGTGCTGGTGCGCGCTCCTGTAGTCCTAGCTACACAGGAGGCTGAGGCAGCAGGATCACTTAAGCTCAGGAGTTCTGGGCTACAGTGAGCTATGATTGTGCCACTGTACTCCAGCCTGGGCGACAGACAGAGTAAGACCCTGTCTTTGAAAAAAGAAAGGAACAGAGAAAGAAAATACATGGATGGAAAGACTAATAGTAAGTAGAAAATTTATTGAATTTGTAGGAAGTGCTTTGAATATAAAGCTCTTAAATGCTGATTATATTGGGGTCTTAATTATGTCGTGCAGTTACCTAATAGCAAATTCCAGTAAAATACCAATGTACATTCTAGTATCTTTGCTTGAGAACTATATTTTTTAACAATAACGTACCATAGTCTTTAGTCACATCTGGAAAAATGCTAACTTTGATTGGAGATTGTTTCAGCATCAGAGATTATAATTTTGCATATGAAAGAATTGATCAGAAAAGCTATTACTGTGTTACTTTTAACAAATATATGACACATTTCTGGCCTAGATATAATTATGCTGTCATTGAAGGATAGCTATAGGATGTCTTAACAAATTCTTAAACATAGGGTTATTTTTAGTTCAGTCTCAAAATCATGATTTTGGATGTATATACATGTAGATTCATTTTAAATGCAGAAATTCACACGTTGAAAATAATTAGCATAATTTAAAAGTCATTTTATCTCATTATAACAAGTGCATTAGAGACCTGTAAATGTGTGTACATATATCGCTGCGTTTTTTTTTTCTTTTCACAGAGTTGGTCAAACGCCATGCTGGGGTGCTAGGACTTGGTGCATGTGTTCTTTCTAGTCCTTACGATGTTCCCACCTGGATGCCCCAGCTCCTTATGAATCTCAGTGCACATCTAAATGATCCTCAGCCTATTGAGGTACAATTCTTCCTTCTTCGTTTTTTTTGTACATAGGATATCAGTGATGTTTTATAAAAAACCAATAATTTTCTATACACTCTGAACTTCTGCTTTCATAAAGCTACAGCTTCTGCCAGGGCCAAATCTACTCACTGATAATTGACCCTGTCTCTACAAAAAATAAAAAATTAGCTGGGCGTCGTGGTACACACTTGTAGTCCCAGCTTGTCTGAAGGCTGAGGTAGGAGGATCGCTTGAGCTCAGCAGTTTGAGGTTGCAGTGAGCTGTGATGAGGCTGTTGCACTCTAACCTGGGCAATAGAGTGAGACCCTGTCTCAAAATAAACAAAAATACTAAACAGAGACCTTGCTTCCACATATATTTGAGATCTTTCGGTATCAAGGAAATTACTATAGCTTCTAACCCACTAGTCCAATGGAAGTAAAGTATTGTCAGGATAAATTTTATGCTTCTATTTTTCTAGCATTTTATATTTGGAAAATATCTCACTGGGAGCTAATACTAAACAGGAAATTGTGATGGTATTATTTAGTAATGAACACCTATGTTTTAAGTTAAATCAAAAGACTAGTGACCTTGTCCTTCTGATCCTTATTAATGGATATATTCATAAGTGTATATTGAAACTGGTTTAATAATGTGATGTAAGTTCCAATGGTTTGTCCTAACGTGAAGCTAGTCATTCAGAAGTTTGGTGGTTTGGGGAAGGAAGATTGGCTTGTTGGTTTTGTAGCAGTTGGTAATGTGTGAGATCTGACATCTAGAGCGATTGTTACTTAGCTAAAGGTATCCTACACGTAGCCCTGGTTGTTCAGAGAGGTTAAAATTTATGTGGGTTGCCTACTCTACAGATGACTGTAAAAAAGACCTTATCCAATTTCCGAAGGACACACCATGACAACTGGCAAGAACACAAACAGCAATTCACTGATGACCAACTGCTCGTTCTCACTGATCTCCTTGTGTCACCATGCTACTATGCATAGAAGGGTAAGTCAGCAAAGTTCTGAATTTAAAGGACTGACATTCTCAGGCAGATGTCATTGGTTTGGTGACTGAGAAGTGGGTATTTATAAATTTATTCCTTTTGTGGACATTCTTAGATGTCACTGTTTAGATAAAGGTGGAGAGTTTCTGTTCATTTGTTTTTAAACGTAAGTTTTGCTATAGCCAGTGGAGATCAAGTTCGCAGAGAATTTTTCCATGCTTCCTTACTTCAGGTATTAAGCAGAGAATTGATGTGATTAGTGGCCTGAGAATAGTTAAGTAAAAGAATAGATCTTACTCGTAGTTGCTTCCTGGGTGGGACCTGGACATTTGGAGTTGTCTTGAGGACTCTGCGTTCTCCACAGTTGTGAGAACATTTCATCTGGATTCTTAAGTACTTATTGCCCATTCTCTATAAAAGGAGGAGGACCCAGAAGCCTTTCTACTGGAATAGGAAGAATAAAGATTTTATTGATTGAGCTTTTAGAGTTGGATATGCTGTTACCTAATTGAAATTTTTTCCTCCCTGATACAGATGACTAGTCCTCACTTCAGGCTCTTTTCATGAAAAATTCCAGATCCTCAGGTACCATCTGTGCGGCTCTCTGCAAGTTTTACAACTGCCTCTGTTGAGGTCTCATCATTTTGGTGGTTTCTGTGTTTGGTCTCATTAGTCTGCGTTCCACAGGTTCTCAGCTGCCATTTGATTTCCTAACTTGTGCGGAAATGTTTCCAGAATTTGGATCACTTTTTCTTTGAGGCATCTGACAAAGTCACAAAGTCTCAGTCTAGAAATAATTACCCAGTATGATCATGGCATCCAAGACCAAACAGAGTCTAGAAACTCATTAAGAAACAGTTTACTTGGAATGGAGAATACCCATCTGTAATACAGGTCCTGTCATTTCATTCATCTCAAATTATTTTGAATTCTTCCGATGGCTGTTGAGTTTAGATGGTAGTAGTGCTGTGGACCATAAATCTGAAGCCTTGAGAGCCTGGGGTCTGGAGAGCCATGAAGAGGGAAGGAAAAGAGGGCAAGTCTTGAACCTAACCGGTGGCCTGACGGATTGCTCGACCAAGGCACAGAAGTGAAGTCTGTGTCCATTCGCTTCCCACAGGCTGGAGTTTTGGGTGCTGAGTAGAGCCAGTTGCTGAAAAATTGGGGGTTTGGTGAATAAATTTTTGATTGTTGTGTGTGCATACAATGTGTGATTTTGAAAATAAACAGCAACACCAATAAAAACCCTGACTGGTTGGTTTTTACCTGTATTCTTTACAAATATTGTTTGACCCTCTTTGAAAACTGTTATACTTCACCTAAATGGAAGACTGCTGTGTTTGTGGAAATTCTGTAATTTCTTTTTTCTTTCTTTCTTTCTTTTGTTCCTTTTTTTTTTTTTTCATTTTCACCTGCAGAATCGAGAGACTAATAAGGCTTGATATTTAATTGACTTGTTTAATATATGTTACATAGATGTAAAAGATTGTATAAACTATAGAGGCAGCGTTGGCAAGACTTTGTACAGATGCAACCTTTTACACAACACCATTGTGTAATTAATTTGTAAAGATTCACATGTAGCTCTTCATTATAGTGATTTTGGGCTTTTGTACCCATTGAATGCCATTTTTTGTGTTTTTAAATTATTTTCTTTATCTTTTCATGTTACAAAAGCTGAGGTGTGGGGTTTTTTTAGTTCATTTATCGTTAGAATATCTGAATTTTTATGTAACTTTTTGTGTGTGTACCTCTCAATGCTAACACCACATGTTTGCCTATGACAAGTTTATAGAGTGCAAGGTAACTTCTAGGTTGAAATAATTCACAAATTGGTGAATGTCATCTTGCAACACACCCTGTACAGTCTTCCTTAAAGGAACACTACAGTATATTTTTTAGTATCTACCTGCTGAATGAGTCAATACAGACCTAAGCACAGCAGTGGTCCTGGTACAGTATTTAAGTGTCGGCATACACAGGCATAATCCCTGTATAGAGTAGTGCCAAACTGATTATTTCAATTGTGTAACTAGTTTAAAACCCAATAAATGGATTGTTTTTAACACCTGGCTTTTGTCTTCATTAAGAAGAGAAGACTGTTTTGTAGGCAGTGACTCATGGATTCCTTTTGCAGCCATAGATTTGGATCGGTAAATTCATGCCCTCTGACCAGGATGAATTATCTAGATCTGCTCTGTACACAGTAGCAGATCTACTACAGTATCTACAGTAGCTACTAGCCACATGTGACCATTTATATTTAATTTAAAAGATTATTTCCTCAGTCTCACTGGGCACATTTCAAGTGCTCATTAGCCACATGTAGCTAATGGTTACCACATTGAACAGTACAGATGAACTTTTCCATTTTATTGGCTAGTAGTGACCTAGATAATTGATTCTCAAACTGATATGCCTAAGAATCATGAGGGGATTTTGTTAAAATGTAAATTCAACGCCTGGTCCTTAGACCGTACTTTGAGAAGTGAGAATTTACATTAGATATTGACCACTTAAGCGTTTCCTAATTAAGCAGTATGAAACTGTGCCTTAGCAATGGTTCTTAAATGGGAACTTTTTTAAAAAGGTATAAGATACTGGGTGCCCACTATGTTCCTTAATGAAAATTCCTGTGGGTTGGGCTCAGGCATAACCATCTTATAAAAGCTCCATGATGATTCAGTCGTTTCAGCCAGGATTGAGAACCACTTGTGAAGATTTCTAAGTTCCTCTCTAGACCTAAAAACAGGATTCCTTAATCTGAATGCTTAACATGTTCCCCAGGTGATTCTGATGCCAGGTTTAGAAGTTGCTTATTACCTTGATATTTCTCCCAATCAGATTATACTATGAATTACTTTATTAAAATTTCTACTCATGGCCTCAGGAATGAAAGGGAGAGAGAGACGAGTTGGATGGCTGCTATTATCTAAGATAGTTCTTAAAATACATGGGGCATTAAAAAGGATGGAGAAGGACAGAGCAGGAACTGAGTTAAGGGAGGCAGTGAGATTTACAGCGGGGAGCAGGAAGAGGCAACATTTGGAGGTCACCGCTGATTGGACATGGAAGAGAAAACGTTGGTTTCTGTGAGAGTGGGTGAAAGGTGAAGGGAGGAGAAAACCACTTGTACAATCTTCGAGGTTGTAAGAACTAATAAATCTTTAGTTTCTAAATGGGCTCTTTAAAAAACAAAGAATTTGCAAATCGTGTTTCACAATTTAGGAGGAAAATTTACTCCCCTACTCTCTTCATATGAATGTCTGAAGATGTAAATATATAAATGTAATGTGAAAGCTGTTTTCAAATATTTGAAATACTTGGGATTGCCAAGCCCTTTAAGGTGTGAGCCAATTTTGGTGATTAGCAGTGTGGCCGGAAGGACCAATGATTTTGCTGTATTGAAAAAATTAACTTTTTCTACATAGTTGTAATAATTATTTTTGTAGACTTTTGTGTTACTAGCTAGTATGTCATTTTTTTAAGTATTCCACCATTGTTGAACATCAAGGTTTTCAGTTCTCTCTACCACAAATTATACTGCAATGTACATTTTCATACTTTCATGCTTTAAAACTTTGGATTTTGTAGACATAGTGGTTTAGCCTTGCCGAATGGTACTAACTGGTTTTGGAACTTTCATGGGTTCTGATTTCCTCCTCTAGATCTCTAGAATCCTTTACAACTTGTGAGGTTTTCTTTTTTCTTTTTTTTTTTTTTAGTCTGAGGTCATTTCTCCCATAGGTGTAACTCTGATGGCCTCAATCCAGCCCAAACCTGCTATCTCCCTTCACATGGCCAAATACCTGGAAATGAGCTGGTGCTTATTTATGCAGTAGCTCATTTATACGAAGAGGTGTATAATTTTGGTGAGAATTTCCAATCTGAATGCTAACTCCTCCCTAAATGCTAATGGGTCTTTTTCGGTTAATTGTTTTTAGGACTCAAGGTCATCATTACTGACAACATATATTAGAACTGCTGTATTGCAAGTGGTTGGGGAGTGGAGTATGATTTAGGTTGAAATTAATAGGAAAAATTTCTTGAAGTGATTTCTAAACAGCACTCTGATAGCACAGTCAACTCCTAGACTAAGTACCTACTTTATAAATTATCAAGCCCTCTTGTTTTTTTCTCAGTGAAAGCACAGGAACTGGGAAAGAGAAAGTATATGCATAAATCACATTCTTTGGTACTTTTTGGTAGTTCTCTTTTAAAAATTACACTTAGCCAAAATGGAGATTGCAGTAGCAACATTCTCACTTAAGTATTTAAACTTCTGGTACCAGGGTGAAGGAGAGGGCATTCATGTAACAGTATTTCTAAACAGCATCCCTGAGGTGGTTAGAAAAGTAGTAAGATCCTTGTTAGCCAGGTTGGGACACTGAAGAGGTAACAGTTTAACTGGTTTTATTTTGTACCCATAATAGCAAACATACTTAGGAATGTTACTTGATTGCTCAGAGTAAAACCCATTTCAGGAGTTCATTATTTTGGACATGTATGGACTTTAGAAGAATGAGGGGATAGTAGCTTTTTGTTTTGTGTTCTTGCTTGCTAAAATCAGCCAAGCAATATACCTAGCACTGTCGCTTTCCAAGATTTTTTACATTCAACCTAGTATTAAATAGCAATTGAATATCCATGATTTCTTGGCTTGATCGTTTTATCTGCACAGGTACGTTCTTTGTACTTTGCATTTGTTTCCTGTAGCTATTCCCCTTACTGAATTCTCTCAGTGAATTCATAACTTTAAGAGAACTTAGGTAAGTTAAGTTGGTTGATTTAAATTGTTATGACTTGATTTATGAATTCTACGTCGCAAAGTTCCAAACTGGACGGCGGCAATATTGAGAAAAAAATGTTAGCTGCAGCCTAAGTGAGGAGCTAGGCAGACGGCTTGAAAGCACAGGGACTGGGGAGAAGGCGGGCGGCGGGCACGGCGGGCCTGCGTGGGTCACTGCGTGCCACCGGGGCCCCCACCCTTTCCCTTTTTTCTACCCACCCCGCCTTGCTCCAGATCCCAGCTTTTGCTTATCTCGGGGATCCTGGGCTCCCCACACAGCGCGCCCGAGAAACATTCTGGCTCAAGCGCCTTCGCGCAGCGTGGGGGGCAGGCGGGGCGGCGGTGGCGGCCGGGCCCCGGGCGTGAGGGGGGCGCGAGGGAGGTGCGGGGGGCAGGCGGGGCGCCGGGCCAGGGTGTCCGGTGGAGGGGGCGGCGCCCTCCGCGTCTCCGTGACTGCGCCCGCGGCTCGCCGCGGCTCCCGGGATGCGCGGAGGCGGCGGCGATGGCGACGATGCCTCTAGCCCTACAGCATCCGGGGCGGCGGGCGGAGCCGGGGTCGGGACTGCTAGATGGAGGAGGACGGGCGGCGCTGCGGCCACCCGGCAGGTGAGAGGCGGCGGGCCCCCGGAGGGCGACCCCACGGGGACGGGAGGGTCGGGCCCCGGAGACCGGCGGCTTAGCGAGGAGCGCGGCTGCGCAGGGCCGGGCGAGCCGCCGCTCACCTGTGCCGCCGGCGCGGCCTGTGGGGAAGCCATCTAGCCCGTCTGGCCGGCCCCGGGCTCTGCAGGGCCATGGAACCCCCGGCCCACCGCCCGTGGCCTGGCTGAGCCCTCTGGACCCCAGCAACCCTCTGCCGAATATCGCAAGCTTCCCTGGCCCGGCCTAGGCCCTCCTTGCCGTCACCTCTCCCCACTCCGGGAAGCCCTCACCCAGCGGCAGCCCCTCGCCAGGGGTCGACCTCCCCTCCCCGCAGTTTCCTACTCCACTCCATGGCCAATTCCTTCTCCCTCTGTCCTCAGGCTGGGGGCTCCACAGCCACCTCATCCCTCCCATCGGAAGACCCAGGACTTCTCCCCACCCCATTAGCTGCCCCACGCTTCAATGTAGTTCAGCTGGATGGAAAAGAGCGAGGGCTTTGAAATCAGGTACATCTGGCTTGAACCTTAGTGACCTTGAGCAAGTTATCTAACCTCCCTGAGATTTTCCTGATCAATATAAATACAATGGCAATAAGAACCTTGCCTTTTGTGAGGGTTAGGCTCTGAAAATGCTTTCCCTGCAGGAACGTCAGACATTATAAGGGGGAAAAAAATGGATTGCAAGAATTCAGGTCAGAAGTTGACTTGTAAAAGCTCATATAAAATCTTTTAAAGTTTACTAAAAAATTAAAACAGCACACTAGATTGTCAGAGGCTCTTCACACATCTTAATGAGAAAGTACAATTGCCACCGTACAATAAATTTTCGTTTCCTATAACTTGCTTACTAGTTACTTCAGGATCCCTCCTTGTGACAAGATGCAGGTGAATTCATTCTGTCTTATTGTTGCTAATATGCATGCGTAAGACTGGCTTTCCAATTTAATCTTCATTAAGATTAAAAAATCTTGATTTTTATGACTTTGATCACGTCTTCCAGGACCTGTTTATGGTTCCAGAGATAAAGAGCAGCTTGTATACTGCATTGAAAATAACATTGGTAACCTTTATTTAATATTTAGGAATAGCTAATAGGTATTAATTTACTTCTCTGCTGAGTTTTATATTTTATCCATCATAACTTTATTCTAAATTGTGATCTCTGCCTCCTCTTTCCCAGGAGTTGGTATTAAGAGGGACCTAGGTTCACTTTCCTTCCAATTCCTTTATTGCTCCTAAAGTTTTTCCCTTCGAAACCTTTACTTCTGTCTTCTGCTTTTCCTCTTTTCTCTTCCCAGCTGCTGATTCCTTCCTTTTTTCCTAATTATCCTAATAGAAGAGATTTATAGTTACTTTGTACAGGAACTTTAAAATACGAAGCTTGCCCAAAAGGTATGCAGAGGTGTGTGTGTATGTGTCTATGTCTGTATAGATGTATATAGATACAGATAGCGGTGTGTGTGCCTGTGTGTATATATATATATACATATATATTGGAGTTTTGGATCCTAGGAAATTTCAGTGAAAAAGGGATTGCAATACCTAGTTCTTAGGATTATTGTAAGAATGAAATAAAGTTGGATAACTTATCTAAAGACTGTAATATAAATGTCTGGCATGTAATAACCACCCAGTAAATTATAGCTCCTGTAATTATCTTCTGACCTACGGATTTCTCCCTTCATTTCTTTGCTGTGCAATGTAGCATAGTGGTGAAGAGGGTGGGCTTTGAAGAACAACTGCTTAGGCTCAAATCCATACTCTACCCCTTTAAATGATCTCTCTCTGACTTTGTTTCCTCAACTGCAAAATAGAGATGTTATACTAATTATTTCAGGGTTGTGAGAATTCAATAAGCTAATAGGATGAAACATCGAGAACAGTGCCTGGCACATCATAAACACTCAATGAAATTAATATAGTAATAATAAATTATTATATTGCCATTATTATTTCCTGACCTGGAATTCTCCTTTTTAAAAAACTTCTAGAAAATTAAAAAATTTATTGAAAAAATGTGACTGTACAAAAAGTAAACGTTGCCTCACAACTCCTCCAAATCACATCGTTCCTCCTGCCTCTCATTCTTGACTAATATTGACACATCATCATCTCATTTTTCCCTCAAAAACCCCCTTTCCAAATATCTCTGAGTCTGTCCTTTTCATAACTTCCATCATCTGATTTCTTCATTATTCCCCTTCATTATTACTCTTCATTTCTCTTAGCAGCCTAATTCCAAACTCTTCGTTCTCCTGATTTCCCCAGACTGAATTCCTGCCTCCCTCTTCACCCTTCCTCACTTTTCTATTTCCAAAGAGGAAAAACTTGGGGGGGGGGCATTGCTAGAGACATTAATATCATCTCTCTGTTCTTCTTGCCTCTTGAAATTGGGTTTTGCCTTCTCTTTTCATAAATTGATGCCAATCCTCCAATTAACAATTTTTGAAAAACAGTAAATAGTTGTCCTTCTCACTGCGTAGGTATCAACAGGGTTCAGAAACAGGTATACAGTCTTTAAGTGGAAACAGTAAAAGCTATCCATTATTTTTTTTTAATTCTAACCATCAAGAAACAAAAGTTAAGGATTTATATTTTTCTCTCTCATAGAACTTATTAAACGGAAAGTACAGAAATGTTGGTCTGACTTTCCAGTGGAGAAATTTATCTGCACCATATGACCATTAAGAATGTAGATAAGGTTATTTTCTTCCTTAATGAAGGACATCAGTCAGGTATCCAGGACTGACATTTTTGTCTGATAGTCACAGGCATGGCTGTACGTGTTGAGAAATGCTGAGCGACTAATGTATTGGGTAGTCCATGGCTGCTGCTTGGAGCCCCGGGTAATCCCTCACTGACTTGGCCCACTCCTCTGCACCCCGTTGAACCAGCAACGGAAGGGTTAACAGGTGGAGGCCTGGGGGATCTAGCTAGGGCTGGTGGCTAAATGTTCTGAACATCAGCCCTGGACCTCCCCAATGCCATTGGTGGTTCCTAAAATGTTGGATTAAAGCAAATGCTTTTCAGTTGTCAAGAGCATAGTGCTGTTTCCAAGGAACCGCTTAGTCTGTCCCACTAGAAACATCTTTTGGGAGCAGGTTTTGCAGCAGGCCACACAGGGCTTTGGGTTTGGAACAAGGTAGAAGATTTGTGTGAGTATACACTAAACTTCATTGTGAAATTGAAAAAAAAATGTTAGGAAATAAGGAGCAAGAAGGGTATTCTTTTAAAGTAGAGGCTGTGTCTTACTCATCATTGTATGCTCAGCACCTAGCATAATGCTGGCGTGTAGCAGACACGTAATTAATGCAGATGGAGTGAATGAGTACAGGAAAGGGGGCAAGCCTCCTGCTCCATCATGTGGATATTCCTGTTGGAATAATGGTGACCCAGATTTATATAGCAGTTTAGAGTTTACAAAGTGGTGCTTTGTATCTTGTAAATTGTGAACATAATTCTGACACTCTTTGTTACTTTGATTTTTTCCCTCTCAAATGTAGTCCTACTCAAAGTTTTTTCCAAAGGAGGATATGCACTTGGCTAAGAAATCTCAAGGTGGGGAAAAAGTGATAAATCTGGGAAATAAAGGATTCTTCCTAGGGAAAGAAGTAGGATTTGCTAGTAATTTATGGGAGTTAAGTGAAGGGCTACATTATGCACCAACAATACTCTCCAGTTTATATTTCAAGCACATACTGTTTCTTGCCTCAATCCCTCTGCTGTGAAGACCAACTCCCCTTTTCCTAGCCTGTCTGTCCCTGCTCCCCGCCCCCCACCCTTCACCCAGCTGCCTCCTCCTCACCAAAGCTCCCTTCATCCTTTCCCAGGTGGGATTAGGTTCCCCTCTTCTGTGCTTCCATAGCACCCTGCACCCATGTTAGGCTGTAATTACACAGACTGTTCTCCAACTAGATTGGGATCTCCTTGATGGAGAGTTTATGTCCTTGTATATCTCAAGTGCCTGACCTAGAAATGTTTCTAAAAATAACATCTACATACCCCTCAAACAGAATCTCAAGGGGTGAGGGTCAGGACTCTGCTCTCCAAGTGATAAACATTTTAACATGCTCTTCAGGTAATACTTAGATTTGTTAGAAAACCACTGTGTCATAAAACTGAAAGTTAGTCGGATGAATATATTTTGAGGTGTTTGTATCTTTTCTGTGTTGGGCTCTGTGAGGAGAAATGTTTTCTGTGCACCAGCTGAGCTGAAAAATTCTAGTGCTTTTGTGAAAAATGAGAGCAGAGTGTACATTGCTTTCTGTGTCTGCATTAACCCCTTTCTGTCTCTGGGCATGCGTTTTTGTGTGTAGGCTTATCTGCCTTGGGCCTCTTTTGTCACATGTCGCTCATCTGTGAGTTGAGGCCCTGACTCCCTTCCCACTGAGCATTTTTGGGGAACAGAAGGAGGAGACATTTCTCTCTGAAGATGAACTCAACAGACCCTCTCCGGGATGCCCCCAATGCCACCTCGCTGCACGACCCTCGCTCGCAAGGAGGAAACAGCACCTCGCTCCAGGAGGACCTTCAGGATCTCATCCACACAGCCACCTTGGTGACCTGTACCTTCCTGCTCGCAGTCATCTTCTGCCTGGGCTCCTACGGCAACTTCATTGTCTTCTTGTCCTTCTTTGATCCAGCCTTCAGGAAATTCAGAACCAACTTTGATTTCATGATCCTGAACCTGTCGTTCTGTGACCTCTTCATTTGTGGAGTCACGGCCCCCATGTTCACCTTTGTGTTATTCTTCAGCTCAGCCAGTAGCATCCCGGATGCCTTCTGCTTCACCTTCCATCTCACCAGCTCAGGCTTCATCATCATGTCCCTGAAGACGGTGGCAGTGATCGCCCTGCACCGGCTCCGGATGGTGCTGGGGAAGCAGCCTCATCGCACGGCCTCCTTTCCCTGCACTTTGCTTCTCACTCTGCTTCTCTGGGCCACCAGTTTCACCCTCGCCACGTTGGCTACCCTGAAAACCAGCAAGTCCCACCTCTGTCTTCCCATGTCCAGTCTGATTGCTGGGAAAGGGAAAGCCATTTTGTCTCTCTATGTGGTCGACTTCACCTTTTGTGTTGCTGTGGTCTTTGTCTGTTACATCATGATTGCTCAGACCCTGCGGAAGAACGCTCAAGTCAGAAAGTGCCCCCCTATCATCACAGTGGATGCTTCCAGACCACAGCCTTTCATGGGAGCCCCTGTGAAGGGAGCCGGAGATCCCATCCAGTGCGCCATGCCGGCTCTATACAGGAACCAGAATTACAACAAACTCCAGCACATTCAGGCCCACGGATACACCAAGAGTCTCAACCAGCTGCCCACGCCTGCAGCCAGCCGACTCCAGCTGGTCTCAGCCATCAACCTCTCCACCGCCAAGGATTCCAAAGCCGTGGTCACCTGTGTGATCATTGTGCTGTCAGTCCTGGTGTGCTGTCTTCCACTGGGGATTTCCTTGGTACAGGTGGTTCTCTCCAGCAATGGGAGCTTCATCCTTTACCAGTTTGAACTGTTTGGATTTACTCTTATATTTTTCAAGTCAGGATTAAACCCTTTTATATATTCTCGGAACAGCGCGGGCCTGAGAAGGAAAGTGCTCTGGTGTCTCCAGTACATCGGTCTGGGTTTATTCTGCTGCAAACAGAAGACTCGACTTCGAGCCATGGGGAAAGGGAACCTTGAAGTCAACAGAAACAAATCTTCCCATCATGAAACCAACTCTGCCTACATGTTGTCTCCAAAGCCACAGAAGAAATTTGTGGACCAGGCTTGTGGCCCAAGTCATTCAAAGGAAAGTGTGGTAAGTCCCAAGATCTCTGCTGGACATCAACACTGTGGGCAGAGCAGCTCAACCCCGATCAACACGCGAATCGAACCTTACTACAGCATCTATAACAGCAGCCCTTCCCAGGAGGGGAGCAGCCCCTGTAACCGACAGCCAATAAACTCTTTTGGATTTGCCAATTCATATATTGCCATGCATTATCACACCACTAATGATTTACTGCAGGAATACGACAGCACTTCAGCCAAGCAGATTCCAGTCCCCTCTGTTTAAAGTCAGAGAGGCTAGAAAATCTTGTGTATATGGTTTTTGTTACTGATATTAATTGACTTTTTTTAAACTTTGAGATCAGTGGCCGATCAAAAGATTCAGGTAAAAAGTCGGCAGTTACGATTTTCTTTTGTTTAAAGTATTAATATCTGTTGATTTGCTTTGTAGTTTCTTGACATTTTAAGATTTGATGAAAAAGTTTATTTAGATTTTTTACCCTGATCTGTGCCCCAATCTTTTGTACTTAACCTTTAAATAGATACCAGGGATGATTATGTTACTGTGTTAAAGTAGAAAATCAGCTGATTGATCATTTGAATCAATGTTATGGGTCTTCAAAGTATATATAGCCTTCATTTTTTTTTTAAAGAATATGAAGGTATGAACTTTGCTGAGCTCTTATTTTTATTAACTGAATTATAAATTTTGCTTTTTCTGACTTAGTGAAATATAATTTTGGCTGCAGGTTGATTGGAATAAACAATACATTGTTAAAGCAGGAAACCAGAAATATATTACCTATAACTCTATCCTTACCAAAAACATCATACTGGCATTAGGTACTTTACTTTCATAAGACAACCAACTAAGAATATAGTATTATGATTATTGCCATTTCTTATTATAGATATTATTTTATGTCAATTGAGTAGATATATTGTTCTTTTAAAAAAAAGGTGTATTACTTGTTAAAAGTGAGTTATTCTAAGCTGGGCGTGGTGGTGCATGCCTGTAGTCCCAGCTACTTGGGAGGCTGAGGCAGGAGGATCGCTTGAGCCCAGGAGTTCAAGACCAGACTGGGCAATATAGTGAGACACTGTCTTCATTATTTTTTAAAAAAAGTGAATTGTTCTATTTTGGAATGATCTTATTCAAGAATCCTAAGGAAGAGGACTGCATCAATAATAAATGTGCACTGTTCCTAGGAGAGTAGGCACTATGTTACCATCTCAGGCAGGATGGTGTTACGTGGGAAACAACATGGATTGTTGTCATGCAGGTCAGTCTTTGTTATTGCTTAACCAGGCATAGAGATGAAATTTGGGAGTGTTTTGATTTTTGTTTTCCTTCTGTGTGAGAAGAGTTTATTAATCATCTGACAGTATTCAGTAACTATTTAGAAATAACTTCTTTTGTCTTTATATATTACTATGGCATAATAGAAAAATTCTCAAGATCTATTTTCAAACTAATTGTTTTATTTCTCTCCATTAACCCTAAACTGGAAATGGGCGGTAAGGAAAAATAGATGAAGTATTTCTGTACCTGAAACTAATTTTATCATATGCTCTGTGATTCTTAGCATAACAACTGTGAACTCACATTTCTATGTAAAAATATTTTCATTATACACTTAGTATTTGAATTTACTAGAATTTTGGAACTATAACTATTAGACACACACAAGATGAGCATCAAGATACAAAACCTACCTTTATAAACTGTTATATTCAAGAATTATTATTTGCAGATTGGACGGTACTTTGTTCCTTTGGGTGAAGGCATTCGGTTTACAGCACCCTCCCTCCAGCTGTTCGCAAATACAGAGGTCACAAGACGTGTGGCAGAGACAGAGTAGATACTCACCAGGAACTCTGCTCAGCCTCGTCTAACAACTCTTAGCTTTCAGTATTGATCAGTCATTTCTATTTCTGAGATTTAAGTATAAGGTATAGGTTTTATTTTGTTTTTAAATTCACCTTTAGGACTGATTTACATACCAACCTAATCCCTTCCTCCCTCTCTTTCTTTCTTTCTCTCTTCCTTCCTCTCTGCCTGCCTGCCTTCCTTCTTTCCCTTTCTTCCTTTATTTTTTGCTATTAAATTTTGTAACAGAAAATATCCACTCTCTCACTTTTTTTGCAATCGAGTGCTATTTTTGGAAGTCTCAATTACCTTTCAATTGTGCTTTTATATTTTTAATACAACACTATTTTTATTTATTAATATTCCCATGAGATAGGTTAGCATATTACCTCTTTTCACAAAGAATTAAGAAGTCTATGATCCAAGATCATTTGAAGAATAGTGGCAAATTAGGGATTAGACTTTCGTCTTAATTCAAATCCTGGTATTTATTCTAATATCAAAATAGCTTTATAATTCATATTAATAACAATAATCACACTTTTAAAAATATATTTCTCTTTTTGTTGGCCAGGCATTTCAAATTTGATTTAATAAAAGATTAAAACAAAAGTGATTTCTCCTTGTAAAATTTTAAATGTCGGGTTTTCTATGTGACCTTTGAGTTTGAGATGATTTGCCCGGCATGGGACCCATCTTTGAGAGGTAAAAATTGCAGTATAAAGAAAACTAAGCATGTGTATATGAGGTATTGTCTCTTTGTGCTCATCAAGAAATTATTGATTTAGCTTGCATGAAATACATAGGGGGCTAGATTCTTAGCCTCCCTCCATATCTATATCCGTATCTATATGTAGATGTAGATATAGATATACAGATATTTATATAACTTCTCTTCATGAGTTATATGTGTCTATCTGTGCCTATATCATGATATAGCTATAGGTATAGACACATAGGCATAGATAGACATATATAACTTGTCTCTTCATAAGGGCTAAAATGAGAACTAAAAGAAATGAGAATTCAGTTGAATATGATTAATTAGAGTATATTAATTAGTTCTTGTGATGCTTTATTGTGATGCAAAGTATGTGATGTATTTAAAACATTTTATAATAATTTTTCTTATGTTAACCATTAGGCCACATCTGTATTTCTGATGCTTTTAATTTCCTTTTAAAATAATGTTTGAAAAATAAAAATATTGAAAATCCTAACATTTCTGAGTGCCAGATTGCAAGATGATGACTTTCCTAGTTATTTAAAAACCATCACAACATACCAGTGATCATTTTTACCCAATAGATAACAATGTGTTGAAACTCAGAAAGAGTTCTTTTCCTTATGAGACAAAATAACTTGTTTGGCCACATTTTATAGTATATATCCTCAGACTAACCAATATAGTTAACTCCAAAGGTTATATACTAAACTATGTTTCTCACTCAGTGGGAAGAGGCCTAAATGAACATTTCAACCACTTCTTTAAAATGAGATTAAGCTGGAAAAAGATACCAAATTTTGGAATTTTTAGTTTATCAATCCTGGTTTGGTTTTTTTTTTTTTTTTTGAGACAGGGTCTCACTCTGTTGCCCAGGCTAGAGTGCCGTGGCATCAGCCTAACTCACAGCAACCTCAAACTCCTGGCCTCAAGCGATCCTACTGCCTCAGCCTCCCAAGTAGCTGGAACTACAGACATGCGCCACCATGCCCGGCTAATTTTTTCTATATATTTTTAGTTGTCCAGATAATTTCTTTCTATTTTTAGTAGAGACGGGGGTCTCGCTCTTGCTCAGGCTGGTCTCGAACTCCTGACCTTGAGCGATCCACCCGCCTCGGCCTCCCAGAGTGCTAGGATTACAGGCGTGAGCCACCGCACCCGGCCCATGGTTTGGTTTTAAGAATCAGAAAACATTAATATAAGCAGGAAATAATTTAATATAGGGAATTAGATGTCTACAAAATTATTAGACAGTCAGGGATTTATGATGGATGGATCTCCAGAAAAGATTCCGCAATAAACACTACCAGCCTGACCAGCCACAAATGCTACTACTGCTGCAACCATGAAGGGAGGGAGTAAGGAAGCCTTCTTTGAACTTTGTTTTTTTGTTGTTAGAAATGTCTTGCTATGTTGCCCAGGCTGGAGGGCAGTGGCTATTTACAGGTGTTATTATACCACTCTATAGCTTTGAACTCCTGGGCTCAAGTAATCCTCCTGCCTCAGCCTCCAGAGTAGCTGGGACTACAGCTACTACACTGTGTATGGGACTACACCATGCCCAGCTCTTTCTTGGACTTTTGACTTCAAGGACATATTGTTAAAGTTGTCATTCAGGGATCAGGAAGCTGCTGCTACTGCCACTACTTTGAACACCAAAACACTGCTGTAGAAAAAATTTGGCACTGTTCATCTAGATGGCAGAACCTAATTTGTACCCAGAAGCCTTGCTTCAGGGGAATCTGGAAAGTGTAGTTACACTAAAAAGGTATACCGAAAGGAGAGAGAAGAGATACTGAGTTCCAGTCTACTCTGTCCATGGTGATTCATATAAAGTATCAAGCAAAACCAAGGGGTAAAAAGAGGAAATTGGTTGGAATGTTTCAGAGACATATACATATACCAGGATAAAGAAGAAAATACGGGAGCTAATATAGACCTTCCTTGCTTTTACAACTGGTCAGGAAGCTGTGGTTGGTATTTTATAACTTACTTCCTCCATCCCCCATTTCCTCTCCCTTTGCCATTAGCCAGCATATCATATAATCTGAGAAAGTAAATAAGTTTTATAAAATAGTGGAGGGAATGAAATACTAAGAAAACAAAATTTAGGAAACATAAAGTAGGATTACAGAAAGAAAACAAGTGGAAATACTTAGTGTCATTTATAAAAGGCAAATCTTTGAATTAAAAACATGCAAAAAATATGCAAAATTTGCTGCTTGCAATAGGTAAACATAAACTGCCAGTAAAAATTAAGAAATAGGCAAAAGTAGATAAGATTCCATGAACAAAAAATGGTGGTGGCAATATTAATATCAGAGTAGAACTAAGCGAAACCATGTTAAAGAAGATCGATACTGACCTTTTTTTTTTTTTTTTTTGAGACAGTCTCACTCTGTTGCCCTGGCTAGAGTGAGTGCCGTGGCATCAGCCTAGCTCGCAGCAACCTCACACTCCTGGGCTCAAGCAATCCTACTGCCTCAGCCTCCCGAGTAGCTGGGACTACAGGCATGCGCCACCATGCCCGGCTAATTTTTTCTATATATTTTTAGTTGTCCAGATAATTGTCTCGCTCTTGCTCAGACTGGTCTGGAACTCCTGAGCTCAAACGATCTGCCCGCCTTGGCCTCCCAGAGTGCTAGGATTACAGGCGTGAGCCACCGCGCCCAGCCTGATACTGACGTTGGTAAGAGGAGCAACCAAATAATAAAGCAGGAACAATTTCATTCATTCCATGAATATTTGTTGAATACTAAGTGCCAGGAACTTGAGATACATTGAAGACAAGATACGAAGTTCCTACTCTCATGATGCATTGTGCTGAGGAAGATAAACAAATGTGTAATTTTGAAGTACAATAGTCCCTGCTTATGTGCGGGGGATGCCTTCCAAGACTCCCAGCGGGTG